AAAATGATTAACTTCAAATATAATTGATCTATGTTTATACAAATTTTTAGGTGTCAATGGTGGGTTCCACAAGAGCTAGTACAGCAAAGGGCTATTTTAATCCAATTAGAGAGAGAAGAAATCTCCATATAGTAAAATATGCAGAAGTAATGAAGTTTGTTTTTGAAGAAAATACTCTACAGGAGGAGAAAAAGAGAGTCCAAGGTGTAATTTTTAGACACAATGGAGTCAAGAAATATGTGGAAGCTTCAAAGGAAGTTATTATTTCTGCTGGAGCCATTAACACACCAAAATTATTAATGCTCCCAGGAATCAGACCTAAAAATCATCTTCGTGCCCTTGGCATACCTGTAATTGCCGATTTGCCAGTAGGAAACAATTTACAAGATCATTTGTGTGTACCTGTGTACATGCAAGTGAACAAACATGTTGGAATAAGAGATGAAGAAGTGTTTTCAAGAAAAGCAATTGTGAGATACACAAAGAATAAGAATGGGCCGCTGATAACAAATGGATACAAAGCGATAGTGTTCATTAGCGTATTCGATTCTAAATCTCTTCTGTCAAACATTGAATGGCATCTCATATCTTTCAGGATATTTGTTGCTGAAAATCCCGCCAAAATCGAAGAAAATGTTGTCACCCCTATTGTAAATATCAACCCTTCCAGCTAAGGAACAATCAGACTAAATATGCTTACACCAGAAGGTCCTCCTTTAATTGATACAAACTATCTAGGAGCAGATGTGGACATGTTGATTCTTAGAAGAGGAATACAATTTCTTCTCGACTTCTTTAGCACACCTACTTTGGCTTCTCTTGAACCTTAGATTTATTTCAAAGAATTTGGCAACTGCATCCAGTTCAAATATATGACTGATGATTTAATAGACTGTATCATTAGTCAGTACTCGGCAACTCTGTACCATCCGGTTGGTACAACTAAAATGGGTCCAAAATCAGATCCGACTTCAGTAGTCAGCCCTGAACTGATAGTCCATGGATTTGAAAATCTTTGAGTCATCGATGCTTCAATAATGCCAAAAATCACAAGAGGAAATGCAAATGCACCAACAATAATGATTGCAGAAAAAGGAGCTGATATTATTAAATTAAACTACCAAACAAATACTAATTAAAAGTCAGTTAATGTTAAACGTAAAACCAAAATATGTTATTAGTTTAAAATTTTGTCATAATCAAATGCAAGAAAAAAAAGATATATTTTTACATCATTTGTAAAGTTGTCAATTGCATAAAATGTATTCATCACATGTTTAAATGTATAATTACGTAACTCAGGGTGTGTTTATTAAAGGTAGGCAATGTTTATATTAAATTCAATTAATTAAGGTTTTAAGTTGAGATAAAACGTCAATGTCATGAGCGGGATTCGAACCCACGACCTTCGGCTTGATACGCCGCTACTCTAACTCTTGAGCTATCGTGACTTTGGAATCCCGCTTGTGACATTGACTTTTTATCTCAACTTAAAACATTAATTAATTGAATGTTATTAATTGGTCAAGCGGACCATGAAAAATAGTGAGTGTATATTAAAGTACAATTATGTAAGTACAAAGTACAATTATGCAAGTAATATTTTGTGCATGTATTTTTAGTCTATAATTTTGGTAAATGATAGGAAATTTTTTTTTTCTTTTGAATGTTTATAAAATAATACGATACTAATACATACAAAACATTTGAATCTTGATATATACTATAGAAAAAATTCCATTTCATAAAATCATCATGTATATCAATTAAATGTAAAATAAATAATGGAAAAGTGATCTTTAAAATTAATAGGATTATTCTTTTATTATTCAAATTTAAAATTTTTATGAACAAACTTGTTTGTAATTAATTAGCAATATTTCAATTGTTACTATATCCACTATTGTCAATTGGGTATCTTAGGGTGTGTTTACTAAAGGTAAGCATTTTTTATATTAAAGTACAATTATATAAGTACAAATTAGAATTTTATACAATTGTAAAGCTTGGTTGATCTTAGCTTATTAGGACTACTGAAATTTGAATTGCTAACCAGTGTATTTTTTTATTCAGGTGATGTAACTGGCTTTTCCTTCACCTCAGTAAACTTTTTGTAATGAATTTTTTTCCGTCTATAATTGAAACTAATCAAATATATTGTTCCCATTAATTAATATTATTATGACTTACTGGTTGATGATTGTTTAAGTTTGATACGTTGAGATTGAAATTAGAAACTCCTTAATTAATCCCTAAATAATATAAGAAAAAATCCTAACTTTTTGGATTTGCAGTTACATCCCATGTGATTATAAAAAATAGTTGATTACTTGTTGATCAAATTACTAAAATTTACTAAAATTGAAGTATATCTATTTTATAAATAAGCCTAAATTATTATATTACAATTATAATACATATTTATTACATTAGAAGAGAAGAATTATCAGAAAAAGAGAAAG